ATTCTTATAAAAATTAGGCAATGTCCTTCAGTTTGTTTCTTTTTTATATTTTAAATTCAATTGATAAGTCTTGTTTATTTATTTTTCTGTTAACATATATGTCACAATATTTGAAAACATTTACTATTCCTCGAATATTCATTACAGTAGGGAAGTACCAGCAATTTGCCTTAGGGCACGGTGCCACACACCACTATTTATCACGTTTTATTTGGTAACTGATTCCTGAAGAAAAATTTGTGTGTGAAAACAGACACCATACACACACACATACATCCATTTTTTCTAAGGTATGCCAAAATGTTCAGAAACTTTTAAAACGTAAAGATATATAAAAATTTTCATTTTCGATTTTTTTGCGATTACTATAACTTACCCTACGGGAATTAAAATGTCATTTGATGGTCAAAAATGTTTATTGGACATATGTACATCAAATTATCAGATATTTTATATAAATTTAATAATGTGTACGCATTTTTTGTAATTTTTTTTGGGTTCCGTACCAAGATTTTTATTACGGTACCGGAAGTTCCTGCAATTCGCCTTAAGGCACGATGCCATGCACCCCACTGATAGTATGAATTAAACATGCAAAAAGAGAGATAACATTAATCAAATAAAATATTACAATGCGTTATTATTTTATTAAAAATTATAGCAGAACATTGGCATGTGTTATTATGAGCAATTGAATTTTTCAAATACATTTTACTTTGAAAAAGTTTTATTTTGAAATCGCCAGTAATTCTACGTAAATTAAATTAGATTAGCATAGATATTTTCTGATTTAATCGTGTTTACTAGCATTATCTCAAATTAAGTATGTGTCATGAAAATCATTCCCCGTGTCGATTCGCCGACATAAAAACAAAGTGATGAGACTTCTGGTATTTACTGAAACGAGTCTCTGGTAATACATGCCTGGTTAATATATTTTAATTAATCCTGCCGAGCACGTTGCTCTCCTTAAACTGCTGCATATGGGTTCCGACGTTTCAAGGATTCGCGTTAACGCTCCGCGGCACATACGATGGTGTGTCTCAACTTATATCGAGGCCGACGAACTAGATTGCGTTACGGTTTCTACTTTATTAAAATGATGCACTTTAAATAATTGTATGCGGAAACTATATTTAGTCTCTGATAGTACCTACAGTGTGATTAAAAGATATTTGTTCAATGGAATTTATATTTTATCATATTTACAGTGGCACCCCGCTTTACAACGACTCGTCATACGAATATTTCGAGATACAAGCCGATAAAAAAGCGGCTTACCCCTTGTCAACTAGTGCCTAACCGACCCATAGAGGCAAAAAATATTTTGAATATAACTATGTAACAACGAAGTATTGTCAATGACTATGTATTGTCTTGCATTTTTTTCTCCTTCCTTATGCGTCGTTGATTATTTTATTATATTTTATAAAAAGAACACGAATATGTAATTTTTATCGAAAAAATGCTAACAGTTTTTTTTTTCTTTACATATAGATTTTACGAACTTGCCGAAGAAGAAGTTTGTTTTCATCAAAAACTCCAAATCGCTAATTTTATGTTTTCTCGACGTTTCAATCCGTTCTGTATCAAATGAGACCAAATTTGGAAAAAGGGTGTGTATGTGTATGTATGTGTGTGTGTGCGAACAGATTTTTTGTCGTAAATCGACGTTTTTTCAAAAACGGCTGGACTGATTACAAAAATTTAAAATGCATTCGATGTATCTCGATGAGGACTATTGTTTGTTAGACGATCGGCCAAGCCGTTTCTTTGTGAGTTGCAAAAACTGTTCGAATCATATTAATTGGGAATGATACTGATTAGTTTTAGGTAAAAATTTACCGAGCCGTTTTCTTGTAATTAACTGTTGAAAAAAAAATTAAGCCGATTTTTATGGAATCATGGTCTTATAGAACTTACTAAAATATTACGGCCTTACAAGTAGTTTAAATTTAAAAATTCATCAGTTTGAGAAAATGAGTAGGTTTTTTGACGTTTGTTAAAATTAAAATTAGACGATTTACTTGGTGTAACGATAGAGTACTTGATCTTAATGACTAATACCTTAATACTAAACCATTAAGATCCTCCGAAAACTGGTTCAATTATAAAAGATGTTGATTTTCGAATTTTTTTTTTAGAAAATATTTGAATTATGTGTAATAAATTCACTCGAAATACTTTTAATCACTCTAGTTTATTTTTTATTGATTAATCCGATTATTTACACATATCGGGAAGTTCATGTAACTTGCCTCAAGGCAAAATACCAATACCAACTAGTTATTTTAATTATGTTCATTCATTGAAATTGGAATAATTTGGAAATGTAAAATAACCTTATGGTAGAATATCATGTACAATATATATATTAGGATTACAGAACAAATTAAGCTTGCGAGGCTGGGTACCTAATAATTTTTGAAATCACCCTCTACCCTACCAAACATCACGTGTATTTTTAGTTCTTAAAAATCGTAAATTTTTCAGTAATTTTTTGAAAAATTTAAGATTTTTTTGAAATTCGGATAAAAAATAAATATGCGTGATATCTTACAAGATTTTCTGCATGCGATATTTTGTAATTTTTTTTAATCCCCAATCCTCCCTCCTTTAAGATTCGTGTGATAAATAGACGCTTTCTAATCATAAATTTTCATATGATTGGGTATAGCTTATTCATAATAATCATTGTAGTTTTCATAAATAAATGATATTTTGGATTTGCATAATTATTTAAATTTTTGACGAAATGTAGACAATTTCATTCCATTTATCTGCAAACTATAAAAAATGGCTTGGCAGATTGTCGCGCAAAACTAATCAACGTGTAAAGTGTTTATTAAATTTCATCAAGCAGCTTTCCTTTTTTTTAAATTGGAAAAAAATGTCGACAAAATTTAAATTTTTGGTAAATTTCAACATATACATTATATTTTTTTTCCATTTTGGTATCAAATGGTTCAGAATAAATTGAAACGTTAGGAAAATATAAAAATTGCAAATCGGAATTTCTTTGAGAATTAAAAAAATACTTTCGAATCTAAAATTATTATTTGCATTCTTCTCATGCATAATTTCAAAGTAAAATTACCTTATATTAATGATCGATTGGTGGTCTGGAATATTATACCTAACAATAAAAAAATCTTATTTTAAAATTTAAAGTAAAATTGTCTTGTCAGTTCATTAATCTAAATAACGGGTGGTCCTTCTGGCGGTCCTAGTGATCTAGTGATCTTACGGTTTAGATATTTCTATAAAGAAAACATATAAAGTATTACACATCGTTAGAAAGGTCTCAAAATTCTTAGTTTTTTCCCATATATCGCAACTTCGAATTCCGCACGGTGTGGCCTACAGGCAAGTTGCTATCGATAAATTCCAATTTTCAAATGGGCCATATTAGTTTCTGATTGTCCCTTTCTGTTTTACACTTACATTATTTTGTAATTCTTGTATCAAAAAAATTTAATCTGTCATTCGTGAATCTTCAAAAGATTTTCTGAAATCTTTCAAAGATTTTCTAAAATCTTTCAAAGATTTTCTTACATTTGAATGCCCTAACTTGGAAATAATAACGGATTTAAGAACAGAATATCTATAAATTATTCAGAGTCCTTCTATATACGCCCTAATATTTAATGAATCCTTTCTAAACTTTATATACCTTCATAAAAAACTAATCATAATCTAACATATAAATCTAATCATCATATAAATTAACAAAGCTTTATTCAACGATATTATTCAATATTAATTATTCACAATTTATAAGTGAAATAAAAAAATACTCGAAATACTTCCATAATTGCGTCCTTGTGAAAACAACGTTATGCAAATATTGTGAAATAACAAATTTTATAATTACATGAGACGAGACGAGAAAGCGGAACTATTAATTAATAATATTAAGTCGGATGGTAACTTGTTTGGAAAAGTTGTTTGATAATCCGTTGAAAGATTCTTTGCGCCTTTGATCAACTGCTAATGAATCTATCTTTCAACTCGACGATAATTTTAAGAAAATCAGACACCCGAAGATTATCGAGTTTACGATTTTTTCACAAACAGGAAAAATTGAAAGAAAACAAAAAAATACATATTTAAATACAAATATATTTATATATATATATATATATATATATATATTTATATATAATATTTATTTGGAATTCATCCAACAGTATAGAATATAAATTCTAAAAAATTGTTAAACTAATAATCATATTTATAACAAGATGATTGACCACCCGAGCCAAAAATGGTAACTCAGTTTTTAAGAGAACGGAACGTCCGATTTTAATAATTCAAAAATCATTTTACTTGTATTGACGAAATCAATAACTGGTAAAATGTTTAGGATGGCAGGTCCAGACTCTCAATAAAAATAAATTAAAAAAGTGTCAATTGGCGGTCAAAAATGTTTATTGTACATATGTACATCAAATTATCAGATATTTTATAGAGATTTTCATATTGTGTACACATGGTGTGTAATTTTTTTTTTGGGTGCCTTACCAAGATTTTTAATTTTGAAGTTTATTTATATGGTTCAAACAAATGTCCTCGACATTTTCGACAGTATGGAATAATCGATTTATAAAATTGAAAAATCATTAGGTTCGTTCTCGATCGAGACGCGTTTTTGCAAAAGGCAATTTTGCCGCTTCAGAGGTATGGAGCGCAAAGGATGTAAAAACGGTTCTGCAGTTTTTGAAAGAATGGATCATCCGATTAGATTAATTCAAAAAGCATTTTGCTTGAATAGACGGTGTTCATCGAATTTTTGAATCGAATATTTTCAAAAATTTCCAAATTCTCAAAATATTTAGAAGAAACTTTTTTTTTCATTCCAAAAATTCCATCTTCTTCAAAAAATCAAATTAAAAAAAATGGACTCTTGTAAACGTATTTATAAGTTGTTCATAAAATACGCCGTCGCCCAATTTAAAAAGCACTTTTAAGTTCACAGTATGTTATAAATATTTATTTGAAATTATTTAAAACAATTATTGATTATTTCCATTCCACGAATGTCGAATTACGGTACGGAAAGTTCCAGCAATTTGCCTTAAGACACGATGCCATGCGCTTCACTAGTTTTTGTAGTTTCAATATTGCTTTATTATTATTGAAATAAAATTCTTGCAATAGACGAATTAAAATATAAACAAAGCTATTAAGAAAAATAATAAATAGAAATAACTCTTAAGTAAATAAATGTAAAATCTTAAAAACGCAATTCAAATACATTTTTGGTGTTCGTTAAACTTTGAGAGACGTTCTTATCCTCGATGGTAGGTAGGTACGTGAGAGCTTAATCTCGTTTCATTCGCTCCAAGCTTTTTTGAATTGATAATGTAATTTTATTTCGAGTATTATCTTTTAGAACGCTTCTTTTTAAGTATGATATAAGGCGGCCCGATTCGCCGCATAATATTCCTATTATGATGTGCTATTTAATGGTGCTTATGTAGTGGCTTCTAGAAGGATGAAGTGTTTATTTAAGTCAGACCGTTTTATTTTAAATTTCGTAGACAATGCTCAAGGGAAAAATTATTCATTTTTGCGGTCAAATGTTTATTAAATTTATATATACCTCAACATCAATCAAAAGTTAACCGTGTTATGAGTTGTTGTGATGCTTTAACATAGTCGCTTTTAAAGACCAAATGATTGGCCTATCTATATTCGATATATTTTTATTATTACATTTTATCTACTACTGATGTGTAAATGTTTAAGATGTAGCACTTCGAAACATATTTTTTTATGATTATTTTCAAGCAAAATTTATAATTTTGACCATAAGCTACAAGTTCATTCCGTGTCCACATTTTGTGTTTAATATTACCGCAAACCATTTTGTGTCCACATTTTGTGTTTAATATTACCACAAACCATTTTGTGTTTAATATTTTGTTTAAAAAAATAAAAAAAAAAGTTAAATAAATCTAGCTCTCTCAAGTTGTGTTGATCTTAAAAAGATGTGATTTTTCGTTGTCCTATGCCACTTTTTTTGAAAATGCTAAAGAAAAAACTACCATCTTAAGGTAAAACTACAATTAATATATACCTTATAATTACCTTAAAACTTTCAAGTCATTTCATATGAAAATCTTACAAAAAATAAGTATTATGAGAAAGATCAAGATGCCCAAGAAAAAAATACATTTTAAAAGAAGAGAAAGAAATATTTAAAACAATCGAAAAAAATAAATTAGAGTTCTGATAAAAATGCTAATTAATTAAATATACACTATACAGTATAGATATTTTGTATGACCAGTTACTTCTGCTTGAATTACATACAAAATGTTTTTTTTTTTTTTAATTTTATTGGCCTCCGCTTCACAGCATTTTTAGCCATCTTCATTATTCTTATATTATTTTTAATCATATTCTATACAATTCTTAATATATATATATATCTTATACATTTATCATATATATACTATCTCTTCTTATATCCTAATCTCCCATTCAATTTTCTTTCTACTGATTTTCATTCTTCTTCTTGTTTCTCAATATGTTTTCTCATCTTCTGAACTAAACTTCTTTTCTTCTTCTTACTTTTAATACGATTTTTTTTGTATTCTACAAATTAACAATTCTTAACCTAGTTAACTTCCCGTAGGGTAAGTTATAGTAATCGCAAAAAAATCGAAAATGAAAATTTTTATATATCTTTACGTTTCAGAGGTTTCTGAACATTTTGGCATACCTTAGAAAAAATGGATGTATGTGTGTGTGTGTGTGTGTGTGTGTGTGGGTGTGTGTGTGTGTGTGCGTGTGTGTATGTATGTGCGGATACAAATTTTCGTCGACGATTTCGGGAACACGGATCAACCGATTTGAATAATTCAAAAAACATTCGATTCGTATTGATAAGGAGACGTGCTGATTAGTTTTTGGCGAAGGCAGGTCTAGCCGTTTCGGAAATACGGGGCAAAAAGTACCGGAAACGGTAACTCAGTTTTTAAGAGAACGGAGCGTCCGATTTTAATAATTCAAAAAACATTTTACTTGTATTGACAAGATAAAGAATTGATCAAATTTTCATAAAGGCAGGTCTAGCGGTTTCGGAGATCTAACGAAAAAAGTAAAAAAAAAATGCCATTTGGCGGTCAAAAATGATCATTAGACATATGCACATCAAATTTTTAGATATTTTATAGAGATTTTAACAATAAGTATAAATTTTGTTTATTTTCCTATGGGTTCCGTATCAATGTTTACCCGTTAGACAGCGACGCCGCGCATACGCGCTTTATATTTTGTTTCTATGCAGTTAAAGCAGTGCGATTGCTTTGAAAAACAAGTTCAGATCTTCCAAAATATGTCAAAATAAAGAAAACATTTTTTTTTCAAAAAAAAAATTAAAATTTTTTTTTTTAAAAAAAGAAAATTAAAAAAAAAGGAATTTTTTGACCAATTTATAGTTTGTCAAAAATCTCATTTTTTCGAAGTAAATTTTTTTCAAAAATGTTAATCGTTTTTAAAAAAAAAAATAATTTTTGGTACGGGAAGTTCCAGCAATTTGCCTTAAGGCACGATGCCCTAATTGCCTTAAGACAGAATTCCACTTACAGCTAGTTTAATATTTTATATTTTGATTCTGGTATTGCTGGTCAAGAACTCTACTGAGTGAGCTATTTCCGCCACAAAATGTATATTATAATTGAAAAAAAAAAATGAATCGATCAATAATATATCATTCCACTTAGAATTAATAAATTGTACGAGAAAGAACAAGCATATAAAAAATTGTAAATAAATATTTGTCATATTATTTTTATAACTTTTCAGAACATTATTTTCTAGCTCCTACTCGAATAATAAGCTAAACCTTTTTTAAAAAATATTAGATTTGTGCTCAGGAATATGCCATTACCAGCATTTTTACCGTGTCTGCGCGTTATTAATTTTCAGATAAGGACTTTGTTTTGTTCTTTCGTTTGTTTTGCTTTTAATCGTGGACTTGAAAAGGAAAGGCGATAATTTACCTCTTCGAGAGAGCTCGATTTATTTAACATTTTGATTGACTGATCGACCATACCAATATTCTGGACTTTTGGTTAAATATAGAAAATTTTTAGGTTTAATTCGTTAGCATTATGTAATAAAACAATAATTCTTATGCATCCTAAGCTTTGACAAATTAAAATAATTGAAGTATTTACCAAATATATAAACTGCTCACACTAGAAAAACAAAATACGCTTGATAGAAATATAAATTTTGAAATGTAGTAATTTAATTAAAATTATGTCATTCTTCGTTTTGATATCATTTTTTGTAATAATTTGGCTGATAATCTGTAGTTTTTTTAGTTTCATTGCCAAAGCTTTTCGTCAGGCTGAAAATTCGACGGATTTGTGTAGAACATCACATTCAACTTCACCATCTATAAGTCCAAGTAATACCACTGAATTTAGTCCTAATGGTAAGTAGAAAAAAATTAGTAACTATCAAAAGATATATATATATATATATATATATACATATATATATATATATATCTATCTAATAATCTAATTGTCTGAATATCTAATAATATAATAATCGAGCGTAAAACTATATAGAAAAAATGATTTTAAATCATTCGTTTTGGCACTGGTCATAGCCTTTGTTCTTCAACTTGTTTATCCATGGACATAGCCTTTGTTTATTTGAAAAATTGCTTATTCTAATTCTAAAAATTAAATTGACAATAACTAATGGTTTACTATCTAATGAAAGCATTAAAATTGGTATATTTACACAATTTCTTTAAAAGAAATATTTCTACAAGACAATATGTATGCAATGGGTAAAATATTGCGATTATATTTTTTAATTATGTTAATCTTGTATGTATTAACATTTTGATAATGATTTTTATAAGTGACTATAAAAATGTTGGCAAATTATTTATCACTACCACTTATACCTGAATATAATTTTTAAATATCCAATTTATATTTGAATACAATTTCTAAATATTCAATAATAAAATTCTAAACGATAACAGTGGCTATTAAAATGTTAATAAAAATAAAAATAAACTAGTGAGGTGCATGGCATCGTGCCTTAAATCAAATTGATCGGAACTTTCCGTACCGTAATCAAAAATCTTGGTACGGAACCCAAAAAAATTTATACAAACAAAATGTGTACACGTGTTCAAAATCTCTATAAAATATCTGATAATTTGATGTACATATGCCAATAAACATTTTTTACCGCCAAATGACATTTTTTTTAACTTATTTTCATTGAGAGTCCATAACCACTGGACCTGCCTTTCCAATAATTTAATCAGTAGTTCATATTGCCAATGTAAGTTAAATGTTTCTTGAATGATTAAAATCGGACGCTCTGTTCTCTTAAAAAATGAGTTACCGTTTTTGGCACATTTTGCCCCGTATCTTCGGAACGGCTGGACCTACCTTCGCCAAAAACTAATCAGCACGTCTTCTCATCAATACGAATCGAATGTTTTTTTAATTATTTGGTTGATCGGTGTTCGCGAAATCACACACATGCCAAAATATTCAGAAACCTTTGAAACGTATAGATATATAAAAATTTTCATTTTCGCTTTTTTGCGATTACTATAACTTACCCTATGGGAAGTTAAAAATCACATATTTAGACTCTACATATATCTTTCATGATAAAAAATATTTCATACTTGACATACACTCTACACTGTGTAGTATATCATATATGAAATATTTTTCAGCATGAAACGACCACGATCAGTTTTTATTTTAAGTAGAAAAATTTACCAACTTGCAATCGCTTCCTTATCAAAAACAAAATCCATTCTATTCCATTAGTAATTTATGTATATTGCATCTTTATAATATACAAATGCAAATAATATTTATTCATTTCCATAATTATTGTTTTTAAGGTACTAGGTCATCAGATACAGATTCGGGTGATGATAGATTTGAATTTGCACAATCGATGGACGATTCAGTATCCGAACATCCAGCCAGATTAGTTCAGGAAATTCGAGAAACTTTAAATGAATTAAGTCGCCACAAAATACCACAAAATTATCGGCAATGTGAGTAAATTATATTATACTATACTTTACTAATTATATAGTTTTATTATCAAGTCAGATATGTGACCTTTGAGAAATCATCTTTTTAATTTATTAAAAGTCATATTTCTAATTCTGGGACAACTCCTTTAGTTACCATATTGTTTAGTGATTCAGTAAAAACACGATTCACAAAAATGTTATGAATTTTTTTTAATATTTACTTAAAAATAGTTTTAAGGAACGATGAATTAATATAGAAAATAGTGGATCAAATGAATATAAATCAGAATAAAATACATTTATCAAGTTCTCCTTGATTTATTTTTAATTATATAAAATTTATCAATTACATAATTACAATGCCTTTATATACTATATTTACTATGGATGCTTCAAGTTTTTCAAACTTTTTCATATATACATATTCTATTTCAAATAGTTTGTTTGATAATAATAAATGATAATACTTCTTGTAATTTATATTTTGTTCCAATGATTATAGGAGTGCTGTTATTTTCAGTACAACATCTTTATTTTCATCTACAAGGGAGAAGTGACCACGGTTATAAATCTTTTCAAAAACTTTGCAGAAGCTTCTGCCTGAAAAAGCCATTCTGTGACTCATCTAATCAAAAGTTATATTCTTTGATGGTTTCTGATCGTGAGTTATTTCATATTTTATATAGAATGTGAGAAATATAGGTCATTAAAGAAATAATATGAATTTTCATCATATTTAAGATGCAATATAAATGTCAATAACAACGCATATTTCTGAGATAAATTCAAATTGAAAGAGCTTAAGTATAGTTGCTTCCACGTCAATTATGTGCCTAACTGCCTACTAAAAACTTACAACTTTATCAATTTTGTGCTTTCATATGAAAACTCTTAAGATATTTTGTTTTCTAGACGCTAGATTATTTAATTTTAAATTAAAATAATTTAATATTGATTTTAGTTATGCTAATATTTTGTTCGTGAAATGTTATAGTGATATCAAGAATTAGCAAATGGCTAACTCAACCTTGGAACATTGTTGATAAACCAGTTTGGTTAACTCTATCAAAAAAGAGAGGTAAATTGCACCAATTAAAATATATTAATTTAATTAAGGATATTTACAATCAATATATATTGAATACTAAGTTGCACTAACTTACTAATAATTTCGACTTCAGTAGCTCGAAAATTAGTTAGTTTCAATAAACAGTTTTGTGCAGATTAATAGTTTGAATTATCATTGTACATAGGATATAATTATGCTAAATTTATTAAATTAAATTTTTATTTTTAAATTATAATTTTCATAATTTCTATTCTAGAATTAGAGTACAAACAACACAATATGATGATAGAAAAGATGTCTAGAACGAGAGGATTGGAAAGTTACGCTCTTTTATCAGAAATTCAAATAAGGCTGCAGATTTTAATAACAGAATTATTGCCAACTCGAACTGCCATTAATCTAACCAAAGATATTCAATTTCTAGAAAAAGAACTAACATGGATATTTAATATTATAGAAGAATTAGAAAGAAGAAAATGTCCCGAACATGCGTGATTTTAACACCGTTGTATGTGTTGTATAACTGCTAATAATATTGTATAGTAGGTATTTCTTGTTATTTATTTTATAAAAAATGTGGTCAATTAAATATATAAGATTGTTTATACTATAGATACTTTATATAAAAGTTCTGCGAAAATTTTGAGGTTTTAACTTATCACTTTTATTTATTTATGTAGTATAAATATTTAATAGATTTTTTTGTATATTTGCGTAAATTTAGCTACCGATCAATATTTTTCTTAATATTTAACAAAGTTCCAACTTTTTTACTAATAATTTTGAGATACTGCACTTCATTCGTCCCCTTAAATATTTAAAATTATTTTTTATGGTAATTTTGTTTTGCAAAGTCAATTTATTATTTATATATGAGTTCCATATACTCGTATAAAACATGTTAGCAAGACGATACCATTCAAGCTTTATTTAAAACGGTTTTTTATAATTTTTTTAATATTCTTGTATAAGCGCGTTAATGCACCATTAGCCAAACCAGGAGCTTTTTTCAAATGATTACATTAGTTGAAATAATATTATGCTGAGCAAATGGATGAAAGCGGTTGTTCCTATCAATTTAAGGACAACGTTTGTTGGTCTTTTTAATTAATATATAATCTGCAAACCTACAATATCAACATTGCAAGTCATACAACAGTGAATGAAAAATTGAATTAATTTGTTTTGCGCGATAAATTTAGTTACAATTTTTAAAAAAATATGTGTTTAGAAAACCTGGTTTGATTTTTATTTAGAACTACAATTTCAGAAACTGCATCACATTTATAAAAAAATATTCACACAGACTAGACTAGAATATATACGAATAATTGTATTATATCATGATTATGACTTGGAGAACAAACATAATATATTTATATTAAATTATTAACTTTCCGATTTTAGAAAATTAAACGCCATTTGATCTATCTCAATGAGGACTATCATTTGCCAGTTTTGTGAGACGATCTGCCGAGCCGTTTCTTTGAAATTTGAAAAAAAGTGTTAAACTTTTCATTCACATTTAAGCTAATACTACCGAATCGATTTTAAAAAATCAAAAACTGTTTGAAAGATATTAATTGAGAATAATACTGATTAGTTTTAGGCGAAAATCTACCGAGCCGTTTTCTTGTAATTAACTGTTGAAAAAAAATTCAAGCCGATTTTCATGGAACTTTTTTGGCGACATATATCATGGTCTTTTAGAACTTACTGAAGTATTACAGCCTTACGACAAGTAGTTTAATTTTAAAAATTTATCAAAGTGAGAAAATGAGTAGTTTTTCTGACCTTTGTTAAAATATAAATTAGACGATATACTTTGTTTAACGTGTTCGTTCGTTTTTTGTTTAATGAACATACAAAACCATTAAAGTCCTACGGAAACTGGTTCAATTATAAAAATTATTTTGTGAAAATTTGCTTTTAGAAAATACTCCGAATTAACATTGTTCGTTCGTTTTCATATATGTGTAATAAATCCACTCGGAATACTTTTAATCACTCATTTACACATATCGGGAAGTTCATGTAACTTGCCTCAAGGCAGAATATCAATACCAACTAGTTTTGTTTTTGAATAATGACATCTAGAATAGATTTCAAAACAATCGATTTCTATAATACAGTAACATTCAATAAATATGATTGACAATATGTAATGCTAAAACCAAAGTTGAATTTACCCAGTGGTATCCTCTTTTTTGTGTTGATTGAAAAATGTTCGTCATCTGAATGACATTTAAGAAGCTAATTTTAAGAAGATGATTTAAATATGTAACAAAAATAGTGAATTTTAAATGAAGTACTAACAATAAATAACAATTTGAGGGACTAAAATATTCATAAGGAACACATTTTTCCAAAATCTGTTATTGAAATACCGTAATTAGAAAAACCAAACTACTTGATCAGAAAGATTATCAGTTTTGCTAATTCTATAAGTTCTTACTTCAAGTGTAAAAACTTACACAAGAATTTAATGATTTTAAATCCAATTCTTGTAACTGTTACTATACCTTTCTTTACATATGCGTTGCGTTAGTATATCCCAAATATAGTTTCAAATAATTAAACTGTATTCTAACTGATAACACCCAAACAATGAAGCCCTGTATTGTTTTTCTATTATACTTAACAATACGATTATTTCGTTGCCATTGGAAGTACGTGCGTGTTATCCAGGGCTAATAAAGTTGGTACCGCCAATAGACCAAATTAACATATGAATGGGAGATTAAACTGCACTATAGAACGTTCTACGACGGCGGCGCAGTCTGATAGGATACAGTTTTGTATTCGTTCCTACTTAAAACACATTCAAAACAATGCATATCACTAAATTAATCAATGCCAATTATTCAATTTGCATATTTCTATTCGAAGGAAGCAACAGATATGCAAAAAAATAATAGGAATTACTTTATTACATGGTGTAGCTTAACTGTGACAAGTTTTCTAAACGTTTATTAATTAATTAGGATTTATGTTGTTTGTTTCGTTAATAATTCATATGCTATAAATATACATATACTTTTTTTATAAAAGTCAAAATTTCTTATTATAGGAGATCTAGGGGCTATCTCTGACATAGATAACTAGTAACGAGAGATTTTCAAAAGGATCTTAATCGATATTGAAATAATTTTTGTCTCCATTGGATATGTAAACGGTCTTTGGATAAATGAACAGAACTGTGCAAGTCCATCATTTTTGACAGGTAATATAAAACTGATCTTTTTTAAAAGTATTTTTTGCAATTTAGCATTATTATTATCGATTATCTTGTATATACCATATCACGTTTTAAATTTATCAATATTTGATGATTTGTAACAATTTTTGTGATTGCTAAAATGTATCTTGATTTTTGTAACCTGGGGCTAGTTGAAACAAACCTTTGGGGCTAGTTGGAACAAACCTTTGGGGATAGTTGTGACATACAAAAATTATTTCAGATTCAAGTGAGAATAGAATATATAGTTAGTAAGTTATGAGCACATTTAATTTTGTTACTTGAGGGACTATATATCTTTAATTTGTATTATGGTAATAATTGTTGAAGTTTTTATTACAGATACAGTACATATTTCAGATATTAGTCAAAGTTACGTTGATTTATGATAAGAATTACTCAAAAACAAGACAATTTTATACAAGTCGGAATTATCAAAGGCATTATTCTCATTTTTTTTGTCGTTACTACTTGCCTTGGTTGACGTTACAACTAGGGCCCAAACATGGGAGAAGTAACATCGCACATATTTTAGAAAATGATTGATCATGAATTAATGGATAATAGTAGTGGAATTATTTTTACTTAAGTCAATGGTACAGCAAATATCCATAAAAAAACTTGGTACGAAACCCAAAAAATTGTAACAAAATTAGTACCTACTCATGTTTAAAATCTCTATGAAATATCTGATAATTTGATGTGCATATGTCTAATGGTCATTTTAATCTATCAATTGTCATTTTTTTACATTTACCTTTTTACCTCCGATACCTTTTGACCTACCTTCCCAAAAATCTAAGCAATTCTTTATTCCTTCAATACAAGTAAAGTGTATTTTGAATCATTCAAATCAGACGCTCTGTTATCTCAAAAACTGAATTACCATTTTTGACACTTTTTGCACTTATCGGCAAAACGGTTGGACCTGTCTTCGCCAAAAACTAGTCAGTACGTCTTACCATCAACGTAGATGAAAAATTGTTTGCAAACATACATGCACACACACGCGTACATTCATTTTTTCTAAGGTATTCCAAAATGCTCAGATAGCTTTAAAATGTAAAGATATGCAAAAATGTTCATTTTAGATTTTTTTCGATTACTATAACTTACCATACGGGAAGCTAAAAATGACATATTGAGACATGTGTCGAAAAAAAAAAAAATTAAACACAGGAAGGTGAATTAAAGCCTATATATATCTATTCTCAAGATTTTGTTTTGGTTTTATAATCATAAAAGTAGAAGTGCTTTAGTCCGGCTTACTTGGGACCGGCTTCTTTGTCGAACTATCAAAAATTCCGGCATATATTGGTAATTATAAAAGCAATTAGGTTAATAGTTAAATTACAAAATCAGTAGAAAATACAAACACCAATGCTTATATTACATTTATTAGAATATATTTTTAAAATGCTTTTAAAAGCTGTATGTACTGTTTAGCAGACTAACTTACAAAAAAAACGGCCGAATCTTTCGTAAAACGTACGGGCTACGTATTTCGTAAGACATACTTCGTTCATAACGGAATTTACCACGGACACAACGATTATCGAACAAAGGCGAATTCTTTAGAATGATTCCGAACCACACCGATAATGTTATAATAGCTCTCGATCGTTTTGAATAGTTGACATATTTGAAAAAATGAAAATTTCAAAAAAATGCCGTACTATCGGGCTGGATGCCGTAATGAAGGACCTATACCGCATATCATAGAAGTCATTTGAGTTAAAAGTATAGGTGAATGTATTAAGCTTTCATAAAATGATAACATGATATTCAAAGTGATTAAACAATAAGAAGTCGTTCTCCGAAATATCAATCAGCGTCTGTATCCGAAATCCCTGCGATTTGGTCATAAGTAGCCGGACGTAGTAATATATCCCAGAAGCACAGTTGAGAACAATGCTATTCCAGTGCTATGTTGTGGGATCCCAAAGCCCGATAGGGCATAATAATAGTATTCTATCTGCAGAGAGTAGAATGGAGCTTATATCCATTGTTATTGTAATATTCGCAACGACCTCGCGAATGTTTATCACGCTTAGCATGCTGGTCAAATACGATAAGCGATGTCTAGTGGCTGGGCCACTGTGCCACTGCGGACGCGGCATGTATCATTACCAGTTACCACTTACACTTACCTAACATAAACTTTAACTATTAAACAAAGGACTGGCTAGCAATACACGGGCAGGTGAATGATAATCGAGGTAAAACGACGAAAACTAACATCGACATTATAGAAACTGATGACACAATTGTCATACCCAGATGCTATATTAGTATTTCGCATCAATTTATTATATGACTATTAAATGTTATCAAAATGTATATAAAATACTTGTGGGGCTCATGGCATCGTGCCTTAAGGCAAATTGCTGAAACTTTCCGGACCGTAATTAAAAATGTTGGTACGGAACCCAAAAAAAATTACACAAAATGTGAAGTTGTACGCAGCGAGACCTTTACCGTTGTAAACATATTGGTCCGACCTTCTTCGCGAGGTATCTTGCTATATTTGCTCGATCCAATAACGGTCCTTCGTAGTTTTGGGATTTCTGTTGGTTTACTATTCGATTCCATTTTGGCTTCTATATCTTGATTAAAATGTAAGACATTTTTTTGATTCCACAAACGCGCATTAGAGTCTCGATTATGTACGGTTTAAGTAAGCAATTATTTAATTTTCTGTACACTTTTTGTAAGCTCTTCATGCAATTTTAATAAACTGTAAAATTCAATCTGACATGCATGTACACATTATGAAAAACTCTATAAAATATCTGATAATTTGATGTGTATATGCCTAATGATCATTTTTGACCGCCAAAAGGCGTTTTTTAACTTATTTTTATTGAGAGTCCATAACCGCCGGACTTACCTTCCCAGAAATTTAACCATTTTTGAATTATTTAAATCGGACACTTCGTTCTCTTAAAAACCGAGTTACCGTTTTTGGCACTTTTTACCCTGTAATTTCGGTACGGCTAGACCTGCCTTTGCTAAAAACTAACCAGCACGTCTCCTTATCAATACGAATCGAATGTTTTTTGAATTATTCAAATCGGTTGATCCGTGTTCCCGAAATTGTCGACGAAAATTTGTATCCGCACACACAAACACACATACACATCCATTTTTTCTAAGGTATGCCAAAATGTTCAGAAATCTGTGAAACGTAAAGATATATAAAAGTTTTCATTTTCGATTTTTTGCGATTACTATAACTTGCCCTACGGGAAGTTAATATATATGTGTGGAGTTTGTAGAATTAACACTATAGGTACAATTATAATTGGTGAAAGCTACCTATAATAATGTGTAGTGCAGATGAAAGATAATCAATTTAACACGATAAAGACTAACACTGACATAAAATAAACTGATAAAACAATTGCCATATCCAGAAATTCCATATGAGATATGCAAAATTGACTATGTAGTATTCAATCTTCATGCCTTTAAATTAATCTTTGGCATTTTTATCTATTACGTGCGTATCAGTCAAAACGTGATGTAAACTATGTATAAATATTTGTGCTGAGTTTTAAGTTTTTTCTTCTATTTTTTTATACAGCGATCAGAACTATGCATGTGCTCTTTAGGCTTTATTGCTAACTTATATTCCTAATATGTTATTTTCTTCGAGTGGGCAACCTAGAGGTGATATGTGAATATAATAGTGTTGACTTGTGTGTGTGTTACACAGAAATGCCGATTTTTTCTGAAGATTATATTTGAGATCTATAACGTAAAGTAAAAATAGATAAAGATATCATACTGCTTGATTTTGAGCTCGTCCGCGGTTGGGATCAAACTCTGGAGAATTTTGTTTTAGTCTATTTAATCTAGTCCTTACCGCTTACGTCACGGCTGGCTCCAACTTTTTGTACTATAGCCACTTAAAAAATACTTTAAAAAAATACCACAAAGAGTTGGAACATATAAGTGTAAATAATACAATGTAACTCTTAGTACGACTTGCAAATAATAAATATAAAAAGAACAGATAACAGCATCAAAAAAAATTTAGATTTTTCAAATTTTTTTATATGAATTGAGTCAAAATTATTTATAACGTATAATAATATATTGATTGAACTGCCGAACCGATTTTGATTGACCAAAAACTATTAACGATAGTAAGGATTATATTACTATTTAGAAAAAGCAGGTTCAGGTTTTTTGGATTCATAGGAAAAATCTGGGTATTAGTATACCATGTGCACGACAATTAAGGACCGATTCTGCCGCATAACAGAAAAATGTCATGGCAAGGCCATTTTATGAAGAATTTTCGATACTAAATATTGGCAAAAGCCATGCAGTTGCTGTGCAGTCGGGCGTATTCATCAGGTTGTCAGATCGGCCCCTTAATGTGTATAGTATATATTATAAATGTAAAAAAATCTTTAGTGGTCAAGGACCATCTGACCATTTTGGCACACTATAAAAAATAGGCGTAATATTATACTTTAACAACACTAATTTTATGTGTGTTTTTTCGTAATATTATTTATAGAGTTCTCTAATGATATAAATCAATTTTTAATATTTGTCGAAATACAAGCACTAACATCACAAATTTAATAGATACCACAATTTAAAAACGTTATATTCCTATGGATCCACAAGGGTTTTCGTAAGCACTCAAAAATTATGTGTATTAAGTGGCATTATTACTTATAAACATTTGAGAAATGTTAGAGAAATTAAGTGTATATATAAAAGTAAAGTTCAAATTAGAAATTTTTGCTAACTTATAATATTTTTATACTACGCCTTAGGAAACGATACTTTTGAATGTTAAAACTATGAAAAATAAATTCTGACCTCTTTCAAATACACACTTGAGCTTGCTTTCTTGGGGTGTGTACTCTTACATATGATAGGTTACAGTACGTTAGCTATAAAATAATTGACCTCTGTCAAAAATTGGGAACGGAAGT